TCATATCACCTAACTGGAGATAAAAACATAAGAACATAAGAGACGCCAATGTTGGATCAGGCCAAAGGCCCATCCAGTCCAACACTCTGTATCACACAGTGGCCAGAAATACCAGTGCCATCAGGAGGTCCACCAGTGGGGCCAGGACATTAGAAGCCCCCCACTGTTGACCCCCCCAAGCACCAAGATGACAGAGCATCACTTGCCCCAGAGTCCCTATCTATACCATGTGGCTAATAGCCACTGAAACCGAGGATTGAACCTGGGACCTTTTGCATTCCAAGCAGATGTTCTACCGCTGAAAACAATGTAAGTAGGGTAATTACATTGACTTCTGTGGGACGTGTATAAATGCACTAAACCATTTGCTCGATTTACATTTGTTAGTATTACTTTCTGGTTGTAGGAACATTGATTTGAGCCATCTCTCACAGTTGTGTAGAGCCTGGGTGATGCTCCAATAGTGATAGTCTTCTTCCTGTAGCAAACTCCCCACTGGACTGGCAATATTTGCTACTGTCCACAGTAAATCAGAGACTGTCAGTGTATTGTTCTTACAAAATAAGAGAGGCAGAATAAGTGAGGTTTCTGTGTGTGTGGCTATACATTCTTTAGCTCCAATATCTATCAGATAAGAGAGCCAGTTTGGTGTAGTGGTTAAGTGCGCGGACTCTAATCTGGGAGAACCGGGTTTGATTCCCCACTCCTCCACTTGCACCTGGCTGGATGACCTTGGGCAAGCCATAGTTCTGGCACAGCTGTTCTTGAAAAAAGAGCAGTTTCTGTCAGAGTTCTCTCAGCCCAACCTACCTCACAGGGTGTCTGTTGTGGGGAGGGGAAGGGAAAGGGGTTTGTAAGCCGCTCTGAGACACCTTTGGGTAGTGAACGGCGGGATATAAATCCAATCTCTTCTTCTTCTTCTTTTACTTATCAGGGAGCTGTCTTTTGCCTATGCACTCCATGAACCACAGAGGGCACAGAATAATAACCCACCCAAGGGCCAGTTCTAGCAAGTCCTGGGCAGAGAATGCCCAGGGGCCCCTCCCCTCCTCTGCTTGCCATTGTGTCCTGCACTCACGTCTCCCTGCACATTGGCCTGCGTTCTCCTCCCCCAGGGCCTCACTACCCATCCTTCCCCCACCCACTTGCTCTTTTTCCAGTTCTCCCAGTGTTCACACACCCTTCCCTGACTGTGCTGGTTACTATATGGCGGGGTGGCTCACAAGCAGCAGATGGGCAGCAGGGGAAGTGAGTGGGGGAAGAGGGGCTGGCATCAGTGTTCTCTCCTCTTGTAAGCCACCCTGAGCCTTCCTTGCAAGGAAGGGCGGCCTACAAACCTAAACAAACAAACAAACAAACAAATAAATAAATAATGAGGCTGTGTTCTACTGGTACTACATAATCCTTGAACAGGAAAACTAACGCAGGTAAATGTGGGGAAGGGAAAATGGGCATGCTTTACCAGGGCATGGAGAAACTGAAAACCCATTATTGTGATATGGCATAATTATGTAATGAGATGACTTATAAAGAATTCCATATGGTGTGACAAAAAAATCCACTCTATCAATGATAAAAACACAGGGTGCATACTCCTAGTTATCTGAGACAGAGCTGGTTCCAGGTTGTGTAGAGCCCTGAACAGAGAGTGCCTAGGGCACCATCCATACTGCCGTGTACACCCCCCCCCCCGTGCTTGCTTCTGAGCTCTCCTGCTGCCTGTGCTCCCAACTGCATGCACCATCCACATATCCTTCTAATGGTGCTGGGTGGTGTGTGAGGCTGGGATTGACACCACTGTGCACCACCTGCAAGCCCTTTCGCTAGGAGCACTGAGCACTGCATGTGGCTAGGATTATGGATGATGGGTGGGCTCACAAACCAGTAGGTGAAAGGCCTGCAGCAGCTGGGGAAGTGCACGGCTTGCCTGGGGGCCAGCAACAGTCGGACTCATTGGAAGCTATGGGTCTTGGCTAATGCCCTGCCTTGAGGTGGTACGCTGATGCCTGTCATTTGGTGCCCTTCAGTTTTACTGAACTCCCCTCCCTCTCCATCACCAAAACTAATAACCCATATATTTAATTTTGACGACTAGTTTTTCAGTGGATGGGAAATATTTCAATGTATTTTTCATTTGTTTAAAGTATTTTCAATGTGTTGCTATTTAACAGAAAAAACTAAAAAGAATTAATGTTAAAGGTAAAAAAAATCTGTGAAACAATTAATGAAACTATAGGCTGCATAGGTAAAAGTAAAGGTAAAGATTCCCTTGCTCGAAAGCCAGTCGAATCCGACTCTAGGGTTGCAGTGCTCATCTCCATTTCAAAGCCGAAGGGCCAGCGCTGTCCAAAGACGCTTCCGTGGTCATGTGGCCAGCATGACTAAACACCAAGGCACACGGAACGCTGTTACCTTCCCCCTGAAGTGGTACCTATTTATCTACTTGAATTTCTTGCTTTCGAACTGCTAGGTTGGCAGGAGCTGGAACTAGAGACGGGAGCTCACTCTGTCATGCGGCAACTCGGGTCTCGAACTGCTGAACTACTGACCTTCCACAGCCTGCAGTTCAGCGTCTTAACCACTTGAGCCACCGCAGCTCCACATAGGCTGCATACAAATGCACTAATTCATATCCATTTATTTGACTTAAATTTTGCTGACATTTTAAAAGCTTTTTTAAACTAACTCAAACAACACTATCCCCAAATGCTTACCTTACCTTAACCCACCCTGTGAGGCTGATACAATTATATCTTCAAAAGAAGTATTTTAAATACATCAGATGGGAATGGTGCTTACTCACTGATATGCTCATTTCTAATCTTATGCAGGAGCAGGACACCACCTCAATTAGGGCTGCCGACTTCAGGTTGGGGAATTTCTGGAGATTTGGGGGCGGAGCCGGGGGAGCATAGGGTTTGGGGAGGGGAAGGACCTCAGCCATATATCATACCATAGAGTCCACCTTGCAAAGTAGCCATTTTCTCCAGGGGAACGGATCCCTGTAACCTGGAGATCAGTTGTAATTCTGGGAGCTCACCAGGCCTCACCAGGAGGTTGGCAACCACACACCTCATGGTTAATCTTTCCTCTTCCCAGCCAGCTCTCTATTCCACCACCTACTTTAACTAGCAATTGCATGACCACCCACCTAACCCACACACTCTCCTAGTCTATTACCATTGCTGAGATTTTTCCCTGCTTTCAACCCTCCCTGTAGAACACAATAACTACCACCCACGCACTTTCTTTCTTCTCCCAGTATCAGCCCTTATCTGCTGCTGCCTGTGCTGGGCTCTAATGTGGAGATAAAATGTGTGACTGGTTGGGAATAAAACTCAAGAGTCAGTCCCAGTTGCCTTAGAAGGCTTTTGGTGGCACAGGGCAGAAGGGAGAGGAAGATGGGGATAATGGATCAGGGTCTTTATGGGCTAAGGAAGTCAGCATCTGGGCCCATTACTATAAGGGGAAAACTGAAACTAAATGGTAGAAGATCATGCTTAATGATGGCCCGGGTCACACGAGCGGGATAATCCGCAGGGGATGGGATGGGAGGCTTTTTGAGCTGGAGCAAAAAGACATGCGGTAGCGCGATCTCACCTTCCCCCGAGGCTCCGTGCCCAAGCCAATCACACCACGCTAAGCAACACAGCAGCAAGGCATTTGTGCGCATGTGTGGGACGCTGACGGGCGCTGGCTGCGATGGGCTACCACCGCTTCCTGATCAGATGCCCACATACACCGCGCATTATTGGGAAACTAATACATGGTTCCCGGTAGCTTTTAAATCCGCGTCTTCAGGCTGAAGCTGCAGGTTAGAGATGGGAGTGCGACGTTTCCCAGATGTTCAGGTATGATCGCGCAGCTTTAATCTGCAGGCAAGCCGTTCCTCCCGCGGGGCAAGTTCACCGTGTCAACGGGGCCGATATATCTTTATGTAAAAGTACTTTGCTGAATCTATGGGGTGTCCAGATTTACTGGAGTCAAACAGAACCAGGGATAGAGCACCTGGCACAAGCAGCATTCTCTACACAGCGGTGGCTGGCTCAGGCCTTCCTCCAGAACTGAACTCTGGCCTGGGAGCCTGATTTTTGGTCAGAAGACCAGGTACTAGTACTTACTTGAAGACCTATTTCTAGTGGGGGTGATGCTAAAACTCCCTGGTTTCCATAATCCATCAAAACATTTCAGTAAATTCAGAGTTTTGAATGTCCTCTCAGCATGCTCCAAGATACTCTATGGCAGCAGCCAGTTTTTGCAAAGAGAAACATTTTTAAACCCCACCCTATAACTTTTCATTTCCCGAATGTTTCTCTCCAGGTATTTAAAAATATTTACCTTCTCCTTCAGAAGTGTTTTTTTCTCACCAAGTGTCCTTTTCCTCACCCAAGTGTTATGTACACCAAAAAGTATGCCCCCCCCCAAAGAGCTGCTCCTGAAAACTCCCTCTGTCTGCATCCCCCCACCATGTTTGTGTCAGGACTCCTTGCCAGTCCACATATGGGATGGAGTGTTGTGGGTACACTGAGCCCACATAATCGCTGCTTGAGCTCTTTCCTAATGTTTCTTTATTATATTAATGTACAACATGTATTATCTTCTCTGCATATAATTTTCCCTAAAATAAACAAATGCAGTAAATAGACTGGTGGTAAGATTGTCAACCTGGGTCCTGGACTTCTCTCAGAATTACAGCTGACCTCCAGGCCACTGAGATCAATTCCTCTGGAGGAAAAGGCAGCTTTGGAGGCCGACTCTGTGGCATCACATCCCTGCGGAGCGCCTTCCCCTCCTCAAACTCCGTCCTGGCACTGACCCCAAGTTCCCCGGAATTTCTCAAGCCAGCGTTGACAACCTGAACTGGTTGTCAGCTGCCTGCGTGCAAGGACGAAAGCAACGAGACCGCCTCCTCTGTGTTCAATGGAAACGCTCAAGCTACCAGCTCGGAGATAAGTATTGGGAGCAACCACTTGGTGGCAGAAGGGTGTGCCAGAGGAAACCATGTCGGCTGTCTCGAGTGGGAAAAAGAAATAAAGCGTTTCTGGAAGAGTTTTAAGACAGCCTGGGCCAGTCCAGCGGGGAGGGCCGAGTTCCTGTCCCAGGCGGGGCTCCTAGCTGACGGCAGCTGCAACTTCTTAACGAGCCGCGGGAGGGTCGGCTGCAGCAGAGCCGGAGGCGACCGTAAAAACCGTTTCCCAGGTGCCGCCGCCGCCACAAGGCGTTTTGCTGCTGGGCCGCGGAGCACAATGTTGGCCCGCAGGTAAGGGGATTCCCGGCAGGCTCGCCGTCTGCCTTCGTTCCAGGTTGGCCGGGGTGAGGCGCAGCGGAAACAGGGCGACGCGAAGAGAGCCTCACGGGCAGGCAAGCGCACACTTCCTGGGGCGAGTGCCAGCGTGACGTGATGCGGCTGGCGGCCGTACATGTGAGCAGAGCCCCGAAAGCCGAAGTTGAGGGAGGTGGAACGGGCCTCTTTTTAGCGCTAGGCCCGCCTCTCTGGGCGCTACAGGGCGAGGGAGCTGAGGGATGCTTTCGGTTCTTCCACGCCTTGTTTTGGCCTTCCCGTCTCTGGGAGGGGAACGTCAGGTGTTACGGGATCCCTGGCTTCCACAGGGATAACCGTGTCAGTCCGGGGTAGCAGAAATAAATCGGAGATCTGTGGGATTTTAAGGCGGAACCAAGAGAAAAAATTGGGTTGGGTTGGTCCTGGGGATGACTTTATTCCCGAATGGAAGTTCCACCCCTGCTTGAAACAAATAGCTCTTCTACATTATTTTGCCGGAGCAGTATATAGGCTTTTAATTAATGTACGCTACAGTGAGCTAGAGCAGCAATTCACTTGTTTGGAAGTGTGACTAAAATCAATAGGATTAATTTATGAGTGAACATGTTGAGGCAGTTGAGCTGACTTCTTATAAACAGGACTTCAGTTAAGCCTCTGATAGTATCTGGGTTGGGGACATGCAGATTTTAGAACTAAAAGCTTTCTGGCAATTGATTTTGTTGTTGTACTCTGTTGGGTATTACAAGTTGAAAACACTCAGTATATCTGGGGTTAAATGTTTGTTTATGTTACTCACGGGAAGTCACATGTTTCTCATGTAACCAATGTTCTTTAGCTGTAGAAAGCCCGGGAATTTTCTCCCTGATCTAGGAATTTGATTGGGACTAAAGTGTCAAGGTGTATTACCATTTTATGGCTTCTTTTCCCGTCTTTGTTTGGTGTTCTGAAGAAGAAGAAGAGCAGCCATAATCTCTCTCTTCTAGTTTTGTCTTTGTAGAGTAAGGATGTAGCCGATTATGCTCTGTTGTTATTTTCATCCCAGTTACCCTTCCCATGCTAGAATTTAGTAAAAACTTTATATTTTAATCACATATGGATTCTGAGTCTGAATTATTTTACTCTGGCTCTGCTGGACTATCTTATCTCTGCTAAATACCATTTTTTCAATATCTCACTATCACCCAACATACTCTTTAACATAACATCGGCAGATTTACTGTGGCATACAATACATTGTTGATGTGGAGTGTACTGAAGTATTTTCTGCAAATCACACTGGTGGAACCATGACTTACTTGGGGAGCTACCACTTACAATGCAAGCAAACTGGAGGATACACAACCTGTATGCCTTAAAACAAGTGTAGCATACAGTGTGCACAAAGATCTGAAATATACTGGACATACTATGTTATTTCCCCCCCTCTTCTGTGCTCACAGCAGACCTGTACTATTGAATCACCACATTGTTCAACCTTTCTGACCTCCCTTCTCCTTAAAAATTGGTTTGGTGGCAGAGCAAATGACCTGGTGAAGCAGGAACTGTTTCACAGTGTTTCTTTGAAGAATCATTCATCTCTTGAGTGCCACCTTGAGATTCCGTTCTTCTCCTTTGCTTTTGGCTTTAATCAGAAGTTGATAGAGGAAGGAAAGTTGTGTTCTCACAACTAGTGACGTTCTTTCTTGGCTAGAGCTGGTAGCATTCCAAAATCATTCCCAAATCAAGCTTGGGAAAGACAGGGAAGCCACAGTATGCAAATTTTGAATGGGATTTTCTAAATGCTGGATAGGGAAATACCTTTTGAACCAAAATAAATTCTTTTGGTTTTTTTGAGAAGTTATGTAGAGGATTCAGATTTGGAATTAGAACTAAGCTTATTTGTAGCAGCAAGGATAGTTATTGCAATCAACTGGAAAAAGCCAGAATCACCAACTATCAGTGAGTTGTGGTGGATGTGACCAGGAAGGTACAGGAATTCACACCTTCTTATCCACATGGATCTCCAGCCTATTTTTAGGTCCTACCAAAACAGCTTTAGGAAAACATGCTACAGAACGGGGGCTGCTGGAAAGCAGCCAACTGCATAATGTTATCTTTGTGGAGGCAAATAAAGTTGGCTACAAATATATAGCAGCAAATGACATAAACAATTTTGAGTGCATAGGTAGTTTGGTTTATTTGTAGAACACAGGATACCCCTTACAGCACTTTTCAAATGCAGGAAAGATTAAAAAGCTGGGTGCGTGTCTGAAGCTTGAAAATTATTCTTTGCAAGTTCTTTTGTTGACATTACAGCAGCCCAGCAACCTGTATTGCAAGGTCCTTGTGCATCTGGGTGGCCAGTGGTGCCATAACAGCTAAACAAGGATGGACTAGATAGCTTCCAGGTCACCTTCAGACTATAGGTTTGTGATTTGGACCAGCAGTTGATATGTGTATCATGCTGTAGTTAAAAGAACGGGGTGAGGGTCTTCTTTTTTAGTTGAACTTGGTCATGTTGTGCTACTGTCATATCTTCTGTGGGATCACTCATTCCACTTCGTTAAAGTGATTTGACAGTTCTGTTTTGTGGGGGCGGGATTTTTAATTTAAAAAAATTATTTACCTTCTTATAGTCCACTTTTTCACTGAGACTCAAAGCAATTTACACAATGTAAATGAGTACAATAAACAGGATGAGAAATCCAATAAGCAATGTAAGCATTAGAATCGCAGAAATCTGAGACCAAGCTGAAACAAAGCGTAAATATTAGCATGACATGTTAAACAATGCAGAAATTCCATAGCAGAATAATACATACAGCAACAGAGAGTACAAAGTAGTATAGCCTGCAATCTTTTCCTCTTCTTTAAAGTGTCTTTCTGAACTGTTCTATTATAGTATAGCACTGTGACCTATGTAAAAATGCCCTCCTGAACAATTTAGTTTTGCACAGGTTGAGGAGTGCCAGGAGAGTGGGAAGTTTCCTGACCTCATCAGGCAGGCCGATCCATAAGATGGGGGCTGCAACACGAAGTTCCCCATTATTAGTTGAGAACTCCTGGGTCTCCTTCCCCCCTTTACCTGCTCCCTGTGATCCGTGTTGCATTCTCCTTATTATATAGATGGTTTTCGTTCAGCAAGACCCATCCTATCCTGATGAGGATGTTGACTTCCACCCCTAGTGGCTCGAAACCTCTTCCTGACATGCATGAAGGTAATGTAACTTGATTACTAGGATACTGCGATTGGAAAGTTTGGCCCATTTATCTGAAGAACAAAAATGTCATAATTATTCTTGTTGATTTGTTTTGTGATCTTGTACTAATGGCAAAGCTTTGCGTGGAGAAACATTTGGGCCAATTTTTACTGGGCCTACAACAAGACTATTTTGTGCAGCAAATAGAAGGGTGGGGTAAAAATGTGATTGACAGATATGTGGAGTGGAGTAGAAGGAGAAAGAAAAAACACACAGTAATGGAAACTTGGTATCCTGCAGTTCTGTATGTGTTTGAAAACATGAAGGAATATATTAACTCAGGCACAGAAATAAATGATTACCAGCACAGCACAATTCAATTATATGTTAATGTGCAATTGTGTATTTACGTCTGTGTGTTTGTGATTGAGCTCAGAAGGACTAGGAAAACAATTCTTTTTACAATTACACTGATAATCTAAATTGCTTTTTCTACTTCACAGGGCATTTACCCATTCATGTGAATAATGGTGTGTTGTGGTAACCTGTATGAATTTTAATATGACTCTGTATCTGCTCCTGTCTTGCTTCTATCTGTCTTTGTTGGAGGGCTAATGAAAAACTTGCATTAGAATTTTTCTGGCAGCTATTCCAAGTCATTGTTGTGGGTGGCACTAAATGGGTTTTCACTGCTAAGTAAATAAAGCATGTCTTATTAATCAAAATGTATGCTTGCAGCAGTTATTTATATTTACATTGAAATAGCCAAGTAGTACAGAAAAACGTATTTATACCGTAATGCTGAATCTAAAAGTTTGAAGCTAAAGCTTTGGCTGGCTAGCTAAAATCAGGATGTAAAAGTCAGCCCCCGGTACCTGCTTAGCAATCCTGAGTCTCCCTTGGCTCCCAAGCCCACCACCAGCTCTCCAAAGTGTCTGTTTCTTTCCAGCCAGTTATTATATTTCCTCCTGTTCTTAGTCAATGGGTAGTTTTGCCCTGATCCTACTTTTTTTCCTTGGTGTTTCTCTTTTTTCAAATTCTTTGTCTCCGTTTCCTAAAGTCTCTTCTGCAACTTCTCACTTACTTTCTCCTGCTTCCTTTAGCTACCTTAGCCTCTTGGGGCAGGGGAAATAACCAGAAAAGTATTTGGGTACTTTGGACCTTCTTTTAGTGTAAATTAGTATTAACATTTCTGGAACAAAGGGTGTGGGGTTTTTTTTGTGTTTCTTGCTCTCTCCGCATGGGAGCATAAAAATGTGTTCCCTCTGTGGCAGTACCAGCAAATTGGTGGAAGTGGGTGGGGGCAGCATTCATGCACCCTGTCTTCACCACTCTCATTGCTGCCCCACTCTCCCCCTTTCCATCTGTTATATTAGGCCTTCCTGTGGCCCAGCAACCCCTATTTCCTCCCTTCCCAGCTGAGTTAGTGCAAAGCTATAGCACAGGTCAGCTGTAAAAGATGGGGGGGGGGAGCCTGTTACAGGGCTGAACAGAGAATAGTTCGCCTGTAGAAAATGGCCACGGTTGAAGGTGATCTGTGTGGCATTATACTCCATTGAAATCCCTCCCCTCCCCAAACCCCACCCTCCTCAGTCTCCACCCCCAATTCTCAGGTATTTCCCAACCCAGAACCGGGAACCCTACTCCCTAGATTGGCTGCAGACAGACAGACACCATCCTACATATTCCCTGATAAACCGATAAACCTTTATAAGCTCAGTACATGCGCATTGTCATGTCTCTCATTTTCTGTTGTTCACTCATAATGGTAATGTCACTGGATCTGGAATGAAACTGACCCTTTCTTGATTTACAGCCACTCTTTGCATGATTTAGCTTAATCTGCTTCTTGAAATGGCCATCACAACTTTTGGTCACAAGCAAACTCATAGTACCCTCTGTTTCCATGTTTCTGACCAATCTTTGTTTTGTTTTAGTGCGAAACAAATTGAGGAGTATAGTGGGGGCATCTACCAATTGGAGGTAAATGGTGCACAGAAGTGATACTTTTCTTTAAATTTTTGGTTACGTCTTTGACAGTGCAATCCTATGTAGAGTTATTTTAGTCTAAAAGCCCATTGATTTCAATTGACTTAGACTGGAGTAACTCTGCATAGGACTGCAGTGTACGTGAAGCAGCCTTGAAAGATGAAAGAAGACACCTCAGTATATCCTGCAGAAATATTACCAGTTCTGTCTTGAACCACTACCCCACAGGGAATATTTCTTTTATCAGTTTTGGACTAATTTGTCTTTGAAGCATTGTTTTTAGTTTGATCTCTTAGGCATTCTTTTATTGGATAGATATTTTAGATCTCTTTTTATTGTTGTAAGCAGCCTTGTTATTTTTTGAATAGAAAGGTTTCCGAAGTAAATAATAATAATAATAGCTTAGGTCCGAAGAACTGTGCATGGAGCTTAGCAACTTTTGCCTTCTTGCTGAAACCCAACCCTCAGCCAGGAAAGGTTCTCCTGAGGGCCAAGAGACTCTTGACAATGGCATACAAGGGGTTCCAGTGGGAAAGGGAACCGGTAGGAATCACGTCTCCCTTTTGCATGTGCGGAAATACCTTTTTGCTTGCTCAAAAGGACCAGCCCCATAGCCAGAATTATTTTGTTGGGGGGGGGGGGCAAATTGAGGGCAGCTCTATCCACATGACGGCTCACTCCAGAGCACTCCGGTGGCAACCTGAGCCACCGGGGGGGGGCCTTGAGCTCAAGTCCCCCCATGGCTCAGGCGCCCATTGGAGGGAAGGGAGAGAGGTGACCACCACGCAGCCTTGCTGGGTCTTCCTGCTTCCACAGCCAGCTTCTCAAACGTTGAGAAGATGGCTGCGGAAGCAGGAAGACCCAACAAGGCTGTCCCTCTCCCTCTCCTGAGAGGGCTGGGCTTATTCATTGGAGGCATAGCCCTCATCAGCCCCCCATGGCTACGGGCCTGAAAAGGGGGCGCTGGGTCCAATTCAGTAACAACAGCAAGTGCTCATAGCATGTATGTGGTACCACAGTAATCCTTTGAAAGGTGCCTATGGTTACTGCTGTGTTTGTGGCTGATCCTAGCAATTTATTGAGTTGTATAGTTTAATGATTTTAGAATTGTTTTAATCTAATTTGATTCATGTTTTATTGTAAATTATGTACTGATTTTATATAAGCCGCCCTGAGCCAGCCTTGGCTGGGAGGGTGGGGTAAAAATCCAATAAATAAATAAAAAATTGAATGGGTGACTTGGAGCTGATGATTATAATTGTTTTGTTTGTATAGCACATCTTTACTGCATTTCCTTTCCCCACTCCTCGAATAGAAAGAGTTTCTCAGAATTTGTTGCCAGTTATATCTTGACGACTCCCCCCATTCCTTGGAATAATCTGATTTGTTTTTCCCTCCTAGTGATCACGTGCAAGCAATGAATGAAAGGAAAGCCTTGCATACACTCCTTGCTAAAAACCAAGCTGACCTGCCCCCTAGGAAAATGAGAGACAGCTATATAGAAGTTATCCTGCCTTTAGGAAGTCAGCCTGAAATAAGAGAAAAATATCTGAATGTCAACAACACTGTCAGGTACTGGCAGAAGTATTTTTGCTGAGCAAACAGCCTATGATTTTAATGTCTTGCCACTCATGCATTTTTAATTTTAATGTAGTGTCTTTTTGTTAATAGGTTTGGCCGAATTCTTGAAGACCTTGACAGCTTAGGAGGTAGGTAACTGCCATACAATTTCATTTATCTGGTGACTTTTTTTAAACTATAGGGCTCTTTTTATTTAGTACTTGAAATATAAAACATTCTTTAAAATCTTGGGCTCAAAATTTTATGCAAAGAACACGTGAAAGGCTGAGAGTGAGCACAAGGCCTAAGTTACAGTGCAAACCTGTACAGAGGAAGGTCCATGTGGTGTGGTGGACTCGGACCTGGGAGCCCCAGGTTCACATCCTTACTCTGTCATGAACCTGGCTGGGTGACCTTTGGCCAGTCATGCTCTTGCCCTGATCTACCTCACAGTGTTGTTGTGAAGATAAAATAGACATGAGAAGAATGACATAAGCTACCCAGAGCTCCTTGGGGTTAGAGCATGATAAAAACATAGAAGAAGAAGAGATTGGATTTATACCCCACCCTTCACAACTCAAGGGAGTCTCAGAGCGACTTACAAACTCCTTTCCCTTCCCCTCCCCACAACAGACATGCTGTGAGGTGGGTGGGGTATAAATCTGAGAGAAACTGCTCTTTTTCAAGAACAGCTTTGACAGAACTATGGCTTGCCCATGGTCATCCAGCAGGTGCTAGTGGAGGAGTGGGGGAATCAAACCCGGTTCTCCCAGATTAGAGTCCACGCACTTAACCACAACACCAAACTGAGGTACACTCTCCCTCAACAGGTTTTTTTACAGACTCAGGGGACTCCGTGTTTCTGCAGGAAAATCCAAAAAGTTTAAAAAAAAAACTCGGGGAGGGTTGAATCCCCCCCCCCAATACCATTTGAAATGGCCACTGCAGGGATCTACTCCAGGCCCCACCACATGGACAGTGAGAGATAGACTGAGATAGCCAGAGAGAGAGAGACAGACAGAGAGGGCAGGAAGCAAAAGCAGGACTGGAGTTTGAATAGTGAAGGATTCCTCCTGCAGTATGAATGGCTAAATAGCAAGAGGTTTGGAGCCAGGCCTTGGACTAGGATTGCCCACTCCAGGTTGGGAAACTCCTGGAGATTCTGTGGTAAAGTCTGAGGAGTGCAGAATTTGGGGAGGGGAGAATGCCACAGAATTCACACATGTTCTCCTGGGGGACATATCTCTGTTGTCTGGAGTCCAGTTGTAATTCTGGGGGATCTCCAGGTCCCACCTGGAGGCTGGCAAACTTAGGCCTAGCAGCACCCTCTAGGTGACTTGATACCACCCAACTTGCATGAGTCAACTAGACCTGGCTGCTTGCTACTGTTCAACAGCAGTCACCCTATGAAAGTCAGTGTAGTGTAATGGTCAGAGCTTCAGAGTAGGGTTTGTGAAACCCAGGTTTAGATCCCCATCTTGCTGTGGAAGCTCACTGGATGATTTTGGATCGGTCACATACTTTCAGCCTAACCTACCTCATAGGGTTATTGTGTGGATAAAAAGGAGGACAGAATAATGTAAACTGCTTTAGTCCCCACTGTGGAGAAAGACCATAGTTTTCCTCAGTAGAGGCTGCAGGGGGAAAGGAGATGGAAAGCTGAAGACAGAGGGGCAGATAATGGTAGGTTGGCTGTTGGGTGGGAAGGAGATAGGGATGCCAACTCCATGTTGGGAAATTCCTGGATATTTGAGGGGTGGAGCCTGGGGATGGTGGGGATTGAGACGGGGAGGGACTTCAGACAGATATAATGCCATAGACTCCACCCTCTGAAGCAGTCATTTCCTCCAGGGGAACTAATGTTGCCAACCCCCAAGTGAGGGCTGGAGATCTCCTTGAATTACAACTGATCTCCAGATGACAGAGATCCGTTTCACCAGATAAAATGGTTGCTTTGAAGGGTGGAGTTTATGGTATTATGCCCTGCTGAGGTCGCTTCCAAGCTCAAACCTCATCCTCCCAAATCTCCAGAAATTTCCCAACATGGAGCTGGCAACCCTAAGAGGATCTGATCTTTGTTTTGGGGCAATCCATTGTGATTCCTGGAGAGCGGCTGCTACCACTGCTGTTGGGGGGGGGGGGGGAAGTAGGGGGGAGGCTGGGAGAGGGAAAGGGGCAGAAAGAGTGATGGGGTGGGGGCAGAAAGGAAGTGGCAGGCATGGAAGAGAGAGAGAGTAAATAAAGGGGTGGCAGGAAGGAGAAGTGTGTGAGAGAAGTAGGTGGAGAGGGAAAGAAGCAGAGGTGGGGGGGGAATGGGATAGCTGCTCCCACAGGTTTCTTGTGGGTCTCCACTTGTCCATTTCTAATGGGGAAAACTGTGTGCGTGGGGGGGGGGGGGTTAGCTTTCCCTTCTCCAACACCATGGCCCCTATTAGCTGCTGCAGCTTTCTTTTCAAGCCAGAAAATACATCAGGAATTCCAGTTATGAATCCCCAAAGTAACATTTGGATTGACTGTGTAACTTTTGAATTGGGCACCCATACATTTCCCTCCCACACACATAGAAGTGGTTAGATGGCTGAGCTCCAGATACGTACTTTACTCTGAATTGCACCATGAAGAAGATATGCAAATTCCTACTTCAGGCCCTCCACAGTAAGCACAAAATGTGGACGTTTGAGTCACTAGTGCTTCCTGCTGCCCTGCTTTTGTGTCACTTTCTAAATCTCCCCCAGCTCCTTAGAAACCAGACAAATTGTGATGATCCATAGAATTAAATGCCCCATATATTGATATGATTAGCTTCCAATTGAGCTGTAATTGAGTTCTTCATATGACTGACTGAATTAATTTTAATTGCTTTCCTTGTTTACATGGATTCTGTGAGTACCCTTCTTTAAACAATACAAAGACTACACTGTGAAGTTTTGCTCCAGGCCTAGGGTGGAAAAGCCCATTTATCAATGCGGAGAATAAATAGTGCAATGTGTTTTATCTTCCAACAGTTCTCATTTGTTACACTCACACCAAACATGAAGCTGTTCAGAGATCTCCTTTATCAATTGTTACAGCGCTGGTGGATAAAATTGGTACAGTATGATGCGATATGTTAATAAATTAATGCCTATGTTAGGAATACACAGTGTACGGGACTTAATTCTCACCCAGATGTTGGGAAAGAGGGGAGACGTTCTTCCACCTCCTTTGAGTGATTTTTTTGGGGGATCAAAGTTGATATTATAGTATTGTGCACTGGCTCCTTCAATGTATTTATTTTATTTCATTTATACCCCGCCCTCCCCGCACGTGGGCTCAGGGTGGCTTACACAGGCACAAAAGTGCGGTAAAAATACAACCAGTTAAAACAATTAAACAGCAGTATGCATCTAGTTCCCTTCTTGTCACTATAAAATCTTGTTTTTATATAACTTACCTCCAGAATTTCCATTCCCTTTTTTTACTTTGTGTGTGTGTGTGTGCAGGAGGTCACCGGAAATGCTTCTGGGTATCATATTATCTTTTGTGTCATTCTGCAATTTATAGTAGCTAATCATGCAAAGCGATTAACTTTCCTTAGACTACTAGAGAATCTAGATCTTGTTTCTAATTACTAATCTTCAGTATTCATTCTCTGATTCTTCTCTGTATGTGTTTAGATTTATGGAAGAAGATAATTCATCCAGATTGTGATATCAAGTTCACTGGGAATGTTACATGGGTAGGAAGGACATCAATGGAAGTGAAAATGCATGTGCTTCAGGTAAGTGGCAGCAAATGAGTATCATTTGCCCATAAGGAATCTAGGATTTGGCTAGCTAAAATGCATCCTATAATTAAGAGTTTCTGTTTATACTATCAAGAGTGTTCACCATCATTTGTCAGGTTAATAGTTACAGAAGAGCTGCAAGACCTTCTAGTGTAGGATATAAGCAACTGTTTAAATTTATTAACACACAGGGGCCAAAATCCACATTTATGTTTTTAAAGAGTTGAGTCTGGGTTCCCTGGTCTGAACTTGGGTTCCCCGCAGCCACAGAGCAATCGCAGGGAATGGCTTTTAATAAATAAATAAATAAATAAATAATATGTTAATTGCCTATAGGGAAAAGCATTTACTGAACCACTGTCTTCCACTGTTGCCTCTGATTCATTGCAGAATGTTTCAAATTTCTAGAGCAATTTGAAGACAATCATCAAAGTCTTCCTTGCATTAGCGACAGAAACTGGAAAACTTGCCAAACACAATTTTCCCCTCCTTTTCTTTTCTTTTTTAGCTGCAAAATGATGTTTACTGTCCTGTGTTAGATGCAACTTTTGTCATGGTGGCTCGTGATCCAGAAAACAAAAGGTAACGTTTTGAGCAATATATTGACAATAGTAGTATAATGGGGGCGGGGGGGATGGTGGAAGAGGGGAAAGAGGGAGAGGTTTCTTGTATTGTCTTAGCGGGGTTAATAAAAATGAAACCTAGAAATATGTAAGATTTTAAAATTACTTCTTTAGAGGAAGGAGGTGACACATTCAGTGATTTCTGTGTGATCAGCACATAAAAACAGTACTCCCTATCTTTCAGACCCAAAGACGTATTAACCTATTTCCTTAAATATGTTTTTTCTCTGATTCAGAGCATGATTAGTGCACTGTTTGTAAAATAGATTGGAGCCTCATCAGGAATTTACTGGAGTGATTAAGTTTAAATAACCTCTGTAACACAAAAGGACAACACTAACAGTGCAGTCCTATGTAGAGTTACTGCAGCCTAAACCCAGTGAAACGAATGGGCTTAGTCTGGAGTAAGCCTACAGAAGTTTGCACTACATCTCTCCATAAATGGTTTCTTTTTCAAAAGACAGTTGCCATTCTTGAGTGCCAAAACAGTGTAGGAGAGTGTTCTGTCTTTTTGAGTTTTTGAAATACGTATATGAGAAAATTATAATAAAAGATTTGCCGTACCACTACAGTCTTTTTTTTTTTTTAAGAGCATGAAGGAATAACAACAGAGACAAGAGAGATTTTTGTTGCGTACCCAGTAATATGAGAGAGCTTCGGTGAGACAGAGTGAGTTACTCCTGTAAGCTGAAAAATACTGTCTGTTGCACATTTTTCATAGAGAGGTTCTCAGAGGTAAGGGAAAAACGGGTTGTAGAGTGCTTTGGTCATTGAGACTCACCTCTCTCTTTGAGTACATCTCTCCCTGTTAATCATCACTTCTCTCCAAATTTTTTCAGAACATGGTAGGGAAAAGCACTAATGGAAGTGGCTCAAATTTCAGGTTTTGATTATATAGTGCCACTGAATTCTTGTGTCTTTGAGGAATTGCATGAGCATGTGTTAACCTGCCTCAGATACAATCAGATTTTTAAAAGTTCTTTTATATTGAAAGCAGTGCCGATTTCTGAGTGATGATAAGTGAAGGCTGCCACCTTCAGGTGGGCGTGGGCATGCCTCATCTATTTCAGAGGAAGTCACACAGTTGCTGCCAAAGGGAAGAAGTTTGCAAGCATCTCATTTTGACTACATTTGTATATGTCCGCAGGTCAGCATTTGTTCATCCATTGATTCCTGAAGGCCCAGAGGAAGAAAAAATCTTCAAGGAAGGAGAATGTATGTAATGTGTTATTTATGAGAGTGGGGGGACATCTGGTCTTGTTCCGTTCTTCCAACTAGGAATGTGGTGGTTCAAAAATAGAAGTGAGCACTAGTCGAAAAATAACATAGGTTTGTAATCTTGCAAAGTTTCTGTCTCAATTTTCTTTTCCTACTCATACAACTCTGGATTTCAAAGATGTATTTTTCCGGTTCCAACCCATCTCTGCATTTAGAAATATTTAAGACTAGGAAAAAGGCTCGTTGTGGAAATAAATACAACGGCCTCTAGAAAAAGGCTCTGGGCGGGTGCCCCGGCCTTGGACACTCAGTGTCAATTTGCTGTGGTAACCTCAGCAGGGTATAATGACACTGAGTCCACCATTTTCTCCAGAGGAACTGATCTCTGCTACCTAAAGAACAGTTGTAATTTTGAGTGATCTCCAGCCCTCACCTGGAGATTGGCAACGATGGTTCCCCAGAAGGGAATGGTTGGTTTGGAGGGTGGAGTCTATGGCTTTGTACCTGTCCGAGGTCCCATACCTCCTGAAACCTCACCCTCTCCAGGCTCTATCCCTCACATCTCCTGGAATTTCCCACCTGGACTTGGCAACGCTATCTCCTTCCCAGCCAATCATCAACCTACCTTTATTTCCCCCTCACTCTTCAGCTTTCCACCCCCCCCCCCACATGCAGCCTCTCCCGTGCTCTGAAGCCCTGACTGCTACGTCACATTGGCTGTCATACGGGGGCCACCTCAGCAGCATATAAGGATACAGAGCCCACCATTTTCTCCAGGGGAACTGATCTCTGCCATCTGGAAAGCAGTTGTAATTCTGAGTGATCTCCAGCCCTCACCTGGAGATTAGACACATTTTACCTCAGAACAGCAAACTGTTTAGAATGTTAGAGGCAAAAGCCAATCAAGTCGCATATGCAAACGACCTCTGTGTTCTGAGGCAAAGGCCAGTGAGGCTGCATATGCAAATAACCTCTGTGTTCTGACTGGCTATGGGGGGGAGAGGAACAGCAAACTGTTCAGAATGTTGGAGGCGAGACTCAAGCAATGCAGCCAGTGGATAGGGACAGATTCTGAGGGACACACCAGGGTGGCAACCAATTCCGGAGCGTGTGGAATGTTCTAGAGAAGTGCCACCACCATTTGGCTTTTATGTATAAGGGAGATGGTTTAAAAAGTCCTAGGCAGATCAAAGTAAAATAAGATCTCCAGGAAGAGGAGTCCATGAAAATTAGAGCTGCAATGTCCATTTCACAGTGTCATCCATATAGTCAGTGGCTAGCATTTGTGGAAGGCAGGAAGAACTGCAAAGCTGCTGTCTGCAAGTCAATACATAGAGTTGCTTAGGGATTGTGAAGGACAAACTCTCCTCTCCATCCTCACACTCCTTGGGGTAGGCTGCCTTCTGCTTTGAGAATTGTGGCATCAGCCCACCAGGATAAGCAGCTATTATAAAAATTGTTCTTGGATAGGATACTTGTTTTGTTTGAGGCTGTAATACTGTAGAAATAGACTCTTTGAGTGAGTTCACAATTCTCTGTAGTGCGTTGTCATTAGTTCTGGAAATGAGGGGTGATTGGATGATATCCTTAGTGGGAACTACTGGACCCTGTAATTTGTATTTCTTTTTTTTGTTCCATTATTTAGTGAACAAGATGAGAAGAACTGATTTCAGCAAGGCCTCTTTGCTAAAAATGGCTCCCACTGCGGAAGAAAGAACAGTCATTCATGATATATTTCTTAATACGCTGGATGAAAGGTAAGCTGTGTGACAACTTAACACTTACTAGAGTTGGTTTGCTCATTGAATTATTAACTGACAATTTATTCATCTTTGTGTCCCACACTCACTATGGCAGGTGAGAGCCAGTTTGGTGTAGTGGTTAAGTGCGTGGACTCTAATCTGGGAGAACCGGGTTTGATTCCCCACTCCTCCACTTGCACCTGGCTGGATGACCTTGGGCAAGCTGTAGTTCTGATAAGAGCTTTTCTTAAAAAAAGAGCAGTTTCTGTCAAGAGCTCTCTCAGCCCCACCTACCTCACAGGGTGTCTGTTGTGGGGAGGGGAAGGGAAAGGAGTTTGTAAGCCGCCTTTGGGTAGTGAAGGGCGGGGTATAAATCCAATCTCCTCCTCCTCTTCTTCGTCTTCTTCTTCATCTTCTTCTTCTTCTGTGTCTCCTGCAGACTCTGAATGTTTTGTTGTGCCAGAACTGCAGCAAGTAGTAACAGCAAAGTTCAGATGTTCTCAAACTCCATTAAAGCTCCTTCTAAAGACAGGAAATGCCCTGACCTAGATTGCCCTGGCTACTCTGATCTCATCAGATCTTGGAAGCAAAGCAGGGTCGACCCTTGTTAGTATTTGGATGGGAAACCACCAAGGGAATCCAGGGTCAGGATGCAAAGGCAGGCAGTGGCAAACCACCTCTGAACATCTCTTGCCTTGAAAACCCTATGGGGTCACCATCAGCTGGCTGTGACTTGATGGCACTTTTTACCACCAAAGACAAGGAAACCTATTCAGGCCTCTGGAACGGGGAACAAAAAACATAGGTTTTTTTAAGGTGGTAGTGCCGTTGTTCTTTAGGTGGGAGGTGAGATTTAAGTTCCTCTAAAGAGTAAACAAAAAACAAGAAAGTTAACAAAAAGTAGCATGAGCCCATTTGGCATACTCTATGCATACTGGGTTAGATCCAAAGGTGCTATTCTGCTGACATAATGTAACTTACCCTAATAGAGCAGCTTTTCGTTTTGTGGAAGCAAGGGGCGTTTTGCCACCACCACCCTTCCACAGCAAACTCCCACTTTACCTTCCATGCTGTTTGTGATGGTTGCCTGACCCTTAGAATCAGAACTGAGAGAAGGAGAGTAAGTCCTAACTGTGAACTTCTTCCTGCTTGTAGTACTTCAGATCCAACCTGCTGTGCTGATTGTGCTTTCCCTCCTGACTAGGGATGGGCACGAGCTGGCTGATTAACTAAAGTCTGTCACAAATTTTGGCCAGTTCGTGGTTTGTGAAGCAGTGTTCACAAACTGAAGAACCACCATGAACTTTCATGAATTTTGATGCAGTTTGTGGCAGTTTGTGAAGAGCGAAAAGCAGGGTTCTAAACCCCTGCTTTCTACTCTTCATGGAAAACAGCTGTTTGGTTTAAATGGCTGGGAGCCATTTCTGCTCCCTGTGAAAAGCTGTGGGGAACAAAAAGCAGTGGTTTAAATGGCTTCAAGCCTTGCGTGGCTCAGGCTGGCTGCCTAAGAAAGTCCCTTTAAATAGTTGATCTGCACGGAGCAAACTGTTCTACATGACTCAACTGTTTAAAGGGACTTTCTTGGGCAGCCAGCCCTGAAAGCCCCTTTAAACTGCTGATCCATGCAGAACTCTTGGCTCAGCTATTTAATGGGGCTTTTTTGGGCAGTCAGCTCCTTTAAACAGCTGAGCCACATGGATCAGTGGACCAGCTGTTTAAAGGGGGTCTTTTGGGCAACCAGCCTCTGAAAGCTCCTTTAAATAGTTGAGCTGTGGGGAGCAGGCTACCCCTGAAGCTCAGTTGCTTCAGCATGAACCTCACCAACCTGGTTCGGTTCGTATGGGAGCCATCTGGGTTTGTGGTTCAGTTTATGGTTCTCTCACAAACCAAACCACATTTTTGTCCTTCGTGTCCATCCCTACTCCTGACCCAATAAAATGCACAGAAAGGAGCTGTTTTGATGTTACGTCTCCTGACCTCACTGTGTATTGAAGGTAGTATCTGTACAAAAAAAAATCCTGCAATTATTTCAGTGCACGTTCACAAGAAGTACTGAAAATGCTACATAAGGAGGTTTCGGTGTCCAGGATCTGGGGAAATCTTTTTTAAAATTATTTTTGCATTTTTGTGTGTGGGTGTGTGTGTGTGCCCATGCCTGGAAGTCATGGTGACTCGCAATTCCTACTGGGGCATGGAGGACGTTCAGAGCAGTGGCATGATAGCCTGACTTTGCCTCCCAGTATTCTCTGGAGGTCTCCCATCCAAATACTTGCCAGGGTTGGCTCTGCTTAGCTTCCGTGATCTGACAAGATGGGCTTGCCTGGGCTATCCAGGTTCAGGGCCAGGATCTGGAGAAATCTTTGAAATGATTTATAAGATGCATTGAGATTGTCTGTCTTCTCCAAGCAACTCAAGGCAGCTTACGTTGATACCCCATTTTATTTTCCCAACAATGCTGAAGTAGGTTAGGGTGAGAGACAGAGACTATAGCTACCTATGTAGTTAAGAAAACTTAATGATACTTAAGTTTTCTTGAGATTGGGTAGTGATTTCTGCTGATCCTCCTTTTCAGCTGCAGCCTGTTTAGTTCTCCGAAATTTACTACTGGGTGTCTGCAGACTTTCAGGAACAGCATAGTGGGAATCATGCTGTGGGAGGGGGAAAATTGGTAGAAATTGCCAGTCTCTGGGAAAGCTTAAATGCCATTAACTTTTCTTATTGGGCTGTGTACAGACTGCTGATTGACCTTATATCACCTGTTTCATAGCTGAATAGAGATCTGAAACCCAGGCCAAATACTGTGCTGCATTCACTACTTCACACTGACTCTTGTATGTTCAGATAAAAGTAGAATCTTCCAGTTTGGCCACTTATTGCTGTGTGCTAACAAAAGGTGGAAGGAATTGCACAAGCCCAAGACCCACTTTTGATCTCACGATGTATAGAGTTGGAGAAGAAAAGGAAGTAATTTTAAAAAAGCTCTGCTAGAGATTAAGGAAGAGCTTGCTTAATAACTTTGGGATGGCAGTGCTCTTTAGAATTTTACTCTCTCCTGTTTTGTAGGACGGTTAGTTTTCGGAGCCGTGTGTTGCCTCCCAATTCTGTGTGGATGGAAGATGCCAAACTCAAGGGTCTGGAGATCTGCCAGCCACAGGTATTTGCAAAGCTTTCATATAAGCAGTTGCATGTTTTGGTTTTCTTTTTGCTTGTATGGAAGTGTTCAGCTTTTGATGCAGCCTAAGATAAATATTTTTGAATTAAAAAGTACATCTGTGGGTGGATTTATTTATTTATTTACTGTGTTGCTCACTGAGATTTAAAAAAGAATGCAATAAAACAGAATAACAGATACATGAAATAATGCAAAAGGAAATCATGATAAATGTTCATAGTTATAAAATTAGGTATGAATCCTTTTCTGTGCAATTGTAATATTTAAAGAGGATTGTATAGGTGTGAAGCTCCAATGGTATTTCTAGGTGGGGAAGAGGACTCACTGAGCTCTGATGGTTAGTGGCTGTGTTTGTGGCTTCAAGCAGTCCAGAGGCAGAGATGTTGAGCTGTCCTCCAGAAGGGCCTCAGGTACTCCTGTTGTTTTCATATATAGTTGAGAAGTTAGTCTCTAGATTTTCTCATCAAGTTTTCTTTAGGGGGGCCTGGTGCCCTCCTCTCTGGGATTTGTAATTAATGTATTTGTCAGATTTCCCTTTACATTGTGTACTAGATTTCATAGTTAAATAGATTTGACATTTTATTAGGAATTAGGGTTTTTATAAAGGCGTTTATGCATTCATGTGCACCACAAGATTTTTATCTATCGACTTCCGGTTTTGGCGTTCGTCATGGCTGCTGCTTCTCTCTGGACGGCCGGGAGACAGTAGCCAGAGACCACGGCTGGGAGTGGGCGCGATCGTTCACGTCACCCCTGGAGCCCTTGCGATGGGCTCCTAGCCATGGGTTGCCAGAGTGAGCTCTTCAACCGGTGATCCGGCTGGAGAAGGGGGGCTCCTCCATGCCGACGGTCCTGCTGCGGAGTGTCCCATATGGGGAAAGGAATTGCACACTGGAACAAGCGCTTGGTGACCGAGGGAAATTAAATGGAAAGCTGACCCAATATTGAACTGTGAGTTGGAGTAAAAGCAAGAACCACTGAAAATTTAAGCCGGAAACTTCCCTTTAAAAGCGAGGGGGAGGGAAACGCTCCCCCGATAAGAAAAGCTAAGTGATTTTATGCTACAACAACAAGGGGGGTGAACGATTGAAGCAAGAGAGACTGAATTAATAAGCATTTAAGAACTTACCAAGCGTATCAAGGAGTATCAGAGACTGTGATAACTTTTATAAAAAGTAAACAATCTCTAAAAATGGCGCCCACGAGGAAGGATGAGAAGGAAAAACAAGTTAAACCAAAACTTCCTTTCGGACCTGCTGGAGCAGCGAGTCCTGCCCCTAGACAGGACACAACTGCAGAGCTACAAAAGATGCTAACGGAAGCATTGCGACCCCTGATGGATCAAATAACAGCATTGCATGGCAAATTTGATGCACAGCAATTGCAACTGGCTGAAATAGCCAAAAAAACAGACAAAACTGAAAAAGAAGAAGTGGATGCCAACACCAAAAAATTAGGAAAAAAACTGCAGGTGATGGAAAAAAAGAGTTTAATGGAAGAATCTCAACTGTTACAGCTACAAATGGAGAGAGCAAGCTATGTCTTAAGGTTTCAAGGTGTTCCTGAAGATAAGACTGAGAATCTGAAACAATGTGTGATGCTTTAGGCCCTTTGGCAGATATAAAAGTGGACATACTACAAAGCGAAATAGATATGATCTATAGATCTTATCCAGAATTCATAAGAAAAAATAATCTGCTGGGGGAAGTGATTGTAAGATTCTCGAGAAGACAAGTGAGAGACCAAATCCTTAAAGTGTCAAGTGGATCTACCTTGAAAATCAATGACAAAGAAATAAAAATGCTAAAGGACATGCCATTTGAAATACGAAGGAGGAGGAGGAAATACAAAGACCTAGTACTATTCCTACAAAAGAAAAGCATTCCCTACAGATGGATGTTACCTGAAGACACAATTTTCAAATGTATGGACAAGAAAGAAAAAATTGACTCTGTTGAAAAGGCACAAGAATTTTTGCATCTACATAGTCGCCCATCAGGGGAGAAAGAACAAGAGAAAGAAGACAGCACCAACAAAAGTGAAGAAGGAGCAGCGACAGATTCAGACGAGGATCCAGACTCTAAGTTAGGGGCAGTTGCCCTGAAAACAAGCTATCATTTGAGAAAACCAAAGTATAAGAAAAAATGAGATGTTATTACACTCTGAAAACTCTGTATATTTTACTAATTAATTCTTATAATGCTTTTTAAAATAGGTCAAAACTAGAGGTGGTTTAAGTTACTATATAAGCTAAAAATAATTGTTAGATGACCACAGTTAATGAGGATTATGTCTTTAGGCCACATTGGCCCTTATATTTATTGAATTAAAACATTTTTATGCTGCCTTTCCACCTGATCAGGGTCTCCAAAGTGGCACACATAAAAACATTAAAATATCTGTACAATTTAAAAACATTTAAAATTAGAAAATAATCCAATAAAACACACTGAAAAAATACAGGAGGAGAACCAATAATGGTTTTGGGGGGTATGCAAAACAAAACAAAACAGTCTTCACTTGCTGGCAAAAGACACTGATAGAGGGAGAAAGATGAATCTCCCTGGAGAGGGAGTTCCAGAGTTTTGGTGTCATGACTGAGAGAGACCTTTCTTAGGTTGCCACTAGTTTCAGATGGTGGCGGCAACTGAAGTAGAGCCTCCAAAAATGACTGGATTGAGCAGGTAAGTGTATCTGAGAGAAGGTAGTCTTTAAGATTTGTTGATCTCAGGCTTTACAGGGCTTTAAAAGTCAATACCAGCACTTTGAATTGAACCCAGAAGCAAATTGAAAGCCAGTGTAGATGGAACAAGACTGAAGGGATATGGTCTCTATGACCTACTATAGTCAACATTTTGGCCGCAGTGTTCTGTACCAACTTCAGCTTCCAGATAGTCTTCAAAGGCAGCCCCATGTAGAGCGCATTGCAGTAATGTGATCTAGATGTTACAAGGGCTTGCACCGCAGTGGCAATATATTTTCTGTCCAGGAAGGACCAAAGCTGGTAAAAGGCACCCCTGCCCATTGCTACCACCTGTTCTTCCAACAGGAGGCCTGGATCCAGGAGCACCCCCCCAAGCTGTAAATCTCCATTAGGGGGTGCAACCCTATATAGAAAAGGGGATAACCCATTTCCTGGGTCAGACCCCCCCCAGTAGTACCTTTGGATAAAATCTCTTGCATCTGTTCTGACTTGGACTCTATATTAGCAGCCACAGGATCAGATGCAGGTTGCATATTTGTCCAGTTGTGTGGGGTATCTTTCAGTTTGTACAGTCTGAGGATGTGGACAGGATGCTTGGAAATTTGAGAACTGTTTGCACAATCCTTGCCTCTCCAGGCTGGTGGCGTATGTCCAGGAAACAGTAAATGTCTCCCTGAGAGAGGTGGTGGTCACTCCTGCCTTGAAGTCACTCCTTCCTCCATTCCTAGAGAAACTTATTCTGGGTCCAGAAGAGCAGAATAACTATCATCCAGTTTCAAATGTATTGTTCTTGAGCAAGGTGACTGAACAAATGGAGGCTGGCCAGCTTCAGGAGTTCCTGAATGAAGTGGATATTTGGATCCATTGTGATCCAGTTTCAGGTCAACAATGGCATCAACAGAAGCACAAACCATACCAAGAGGAAAATCCCCAATGCCACCATCAGGCTACAGGGGCGGGTCGTTTTAAATCGATGCCCAGCCACTACAGTCTTGGTAGCCTTGTAAGTCAAAACCCTAGCAAGTAGTGCTCTGTCCATGACAAGAGGACTGTCTTCAATCCCCTCCCCCATGTTCAAATAACCTTCTTCATGCCCAGAGCAGAACACCAGATCAAGAGTATGACCTGCAGAGTATGTGGGGCCTGTTATTACCTGAGACAGGCCCATGGTTGTCATGGAGACTATGAAATCCTGATCTGCTCCTGACAAGGTAGGCTTGGCATGGATGTTCCACAAGACAACCAGCTTAGGAGTCCTCAACACTATATCTGAGGCCACCTCCACAAGCTCAGGCAGGGAGACAGTTGGGCATTGGGGTAGGTGGTACACCAACAGAATCTCAATCTTGTCTCACATACACACTCTCAAAACCAGCAGAGTCCTGGATAACACTGAGCCTGAGGGATAGAATCCCAATAGACTATGACAACACCTCCTCCCTGCCCAGCAGGCCTATGCCGATACATCACAGAGTACCTTGGGGGGCATGATTGGGAAAGGTTAATATCATCTTTTGCTAGTCCCTTGTAGTTTTTTGGATTGCATTTGTTGTCCCCAGTGTTTGCTTACTGCAGCATGACTAGGGATGTGCATTCGGTTCATCTGAACCAAATGCACCCCCGAAAATGGCCCATTCGGGCCCCTTTCAGGCTGCTGTGGACCGATTCAGATTCTCTGATCTGAATCGGCTTGCCGCTGAATTGCCGCCGAATTTTGGCGGCAATTTGGCCCCATTATATCCTATGGGCCATTGAAGTCAATGACGAAAACGTAGGGTTTGAAGGAGAGGCTCCAACCCCGCAGGGTAGCTGCTGGAGCCTCTCCCCAAGATACCCACCAAGTTTCAAGGACATTGGACAAGGGGGTCCAGTTCTACGGGCCCCCAAACAGGTTGCCCCCATCATTACTTTTTCTTGAAACTTGGTGGGTATCTTGGGGAGAGGCTCCAGCAGTTACCCTGCAGGGTTGGAGCCTCTCCCTCAAACCCCTTCCCCTCCAGCCCCCAGAATATACCTTATGTTTTTGCCATTGACTTCAATGGCCCATAGAATATAATGGGGCTGAAATTGACATTGGGCTGTTCGAAAGACTCCCCAATCTGCTAGTACTGCCAAAATTGACATGCGGGAGTCTTTCTGCCCGTGGAAATTGATTCTGCCCAATTCGGACAAATCCAAATCAGGCCGAATTTTTTTGGGTTTTTTTGCACTCCCCTAAGCATGACTCACCAGTGCTGCTTGTTCAGTTGCAATTTCGGATCAATCCTAGAAGAGTAGCTTTGCTAGAATGGGTTCAGAAGCACTCAGCTGTCCATGTTGTGGTGGAAAACCCTTGGTCTGTGCCAGCAGTCCATGTTCTGGGAGTAACATTTGAACTTCTCTTCCCTGTGTGCTAGCAATCACATGCACCAACATTGCTGATTTACCACTTTATACATAGAAAGATCTAAACAGAAGGCTGTGTACATTCTGCAATTCTATGCACATGCAGTGCACACAATAAAATTGGTATTGGCTGCAAAATTCAGCATACTGAGACTCTCTGTTTTCTCTTTGTAAATGTTCCTACCTGTGCAAGATCTGGTGAAAACTTAGAAACTGGGATGGGGGTCTGGTAAAATGCCCACTGGCTTTCTTGGAGTGGAACTTCAAATTCATTTGATTTTTTTTTAGTGCAGAGTGGAGCAGGTGGACAGTATCTACCCCCTGAAATATTATATGCAAGCCCATTCTAAGCTATCTTGCCTTTTGTTATGGTGCCGTAACGTTTATTGTGCACATAGGTATGCTTTGTTACGATGCATTCTGACAGTCTGAATTATTACAACTTATTTGTCATGCAGAACTACAAATGCAGAAACTGTGTAAATGTTCAAAAATCCATTGTCTTTATTGATGCTTCTGAATATAGGAGCGCAACATTTTCAATAGAATCTTCGGGGGATTTCTTATGAGAAAAGCATATGAACTTGGATGGGCTACTGCCTGCAGCTATGGGTAAGCTGGAAACGTTTGTAATATCTATACTCATGTTTTGTAGGTAGAGGGAAGGTGGGGCTTGTCTGAATCTTTCCCCAAGCTTCCTTCCTTCCCCGTGGTGCTGTTGGCCTAGGTATGGGTGGGAAGAACATCTCTCTGAGGACCTGCCTATTTACTCTGCATGGTGTGAGCAGGGAGGACTTGTAAAGTGTGTTATTTTACAGATCCCATCAAGTCAGGTATCCAAAGCTATATTTTGTTTAATTTATAGGAGCAGATATATACATCCTGCCCTGATGATGAATGAAAGCTCAAAAACTGTAGAGTTCATTACTCCGTTGGAGAATGCAAGCAGATTTTTGCAGCTGCTGCCTGTAAACATAACTTTGCTTCATTAGTGCAGTAATGTCGTGACTAGTACAATGCTATGTATGCCAAAATCTTCTCCAGATTTATTCATTACCAAGCCAATTTAATGCTCTGCAAGAACCAGGCTGAGTGTGATAGGAAGAGGAAAGCTTCAGTGCAAATCTGACTTACTGCAGGAGACCGCAAAATATCCAATGATGCCTGAAGGCATACCTAGTAGTGGTGGTCCCTACTACCTTTCTGGACTTTCATGTCAAAACTGTAAACTTTGTTTAGGTGGTTAAAGGGGAGCATTCTTTGTTTCTGGAAGTATTCTGTAAATTGCACTGGCTGTGTTCCAGATCTAGGTGCAGACTATTAGCGCTGCACAACATAGTGCTCTGAATGGGAATGGACATTCCCATCAATATTAAAAGACACATCTAGCCATTTCACTGGGGCCGTATCAGCACTATAGTAGATGCAAATGATCATCCAGACATGTTTGTGCATCATCAGTGTGTGACTAAGCCTGCTTCTACTGTTAGCCGAATTGCTTCATTTACAGCAATTGGCAATTTATAAATGGGTTCTTGCCAATTTATACCAAGGTCCTGTTCCCACCAAGGGTTACCAGTAAAAAATTTGAGGCGGTTGTGGTTAAAATAGATGTCTTTTACTTAAAAGTATATCTCATACAAACAATACTGATGCACTCACACATTCAATCAAGTTCCTAATAATTACAGTAGGAAATAAGCACGGTTGCATTAGCAGGTAGGGGTGATGGTGAGCAATACTTATCTGTCTTGCAGCTTGGTTGTTCCAATGAAGAATGGATGGGAAGAAATAGAAAATAAAGGGATCCACACTACCAGAACTAGCTGGACTGTGTGGGGGTCTCTTGACTGTAGATGAAGAGATCAAAGTAGAGGCAAGGGTTGGGGATAGCAAGTGGGACTCAAGGGGAGTAAAAGCAGATAAGGGTTGTTGTGGGGATTGCTAGCTAGGAAGGGCCAGGTGAATGGTCCTTACCTTTTATAGGGGGTGCAAGAAATGGGTGGTGGCTGTGCCAACCTCTTGACCCACCTACCTGTTAGTCCATCCCCAAAACAATCCTATTGATTGCATGGAGGGAGGGGTGGTTACCTAGAAGGGATGGCCAATATTGTAACCTAAAACCTTACTCAGAGTATGGCATCTGGACAGGTGTGAAACCTAGGCGTCAGGATGCTCCATTGTAGTGTTGATGAAGCTGGCCATTCCATTGATAACCAAATGTCCATTTGGGAGGAAATGCCAATGCAGGAACAAAGCAGTGATGGGTGGTACGTGACCACAAACAGTCTTGGAACTATTAGTGCTTTCCCAACCACACTCCCAGTGACAAGAAACCTGTTGGAATATTGAGCATGTACACACAATCTTGACTTGGTTTAATGTTCATTCTGCATTGGTGGGAAAGTAGTTAGGTACAGCCAAAATAATTCGTGATTTTGAGTAGCAGTATATACAGTGATGTTTCAGGTTATGTTTGAATGGGTAGGAAAATCTACAGAATGTTTCACCTTGATTCCCATTACTAACTGCAGCTTCAGTGCCATCTTAACGTATTTTCTAACCATCTAACATAAACGCTACCAAATCAAGCCTTTGTAGGGAGTGCTCCTAGGCTGATTTTCAGCTCTGTGAAAAAAATAACCAAAGCCTTTAAATTTTGTTGTAGGTAAGTCCTACTACAGTAACAAATTTGTTGGAGTTAAAGAAGAGTTTACTGATGGATTGTCAGTTGACCTTTATGCTAAATATGATGGTGGCAATGGAAGTCCGTAGCACAGATTCCATGGCTTAGGTCTGAGAATCTGTGCTGTAGCAGGAAACACTCCTCACTAAACTTCTTCATATAATTAATATTTACTTAAGACACTGAGGAGATGCCTGTTCACAAAGTCTGTTTTGTTAGTTGGTGTGTAATTTAGGGTGTAACCTGTAGCTTTTTAATATATATATATATTCTCCTATTTCAGAAGCTCTAGACCTTATGTGATAGCTGTAGATGATATCATGTTTCAAAGACCAGTTGAAATTGGATCCTTATTATTATTTTCTTCTCAGGTAATACTTTTTTATCAATCAATGTTAACAGGCTATATTAATGCAAATCACTTATGCCACTCTGACAGCCAGTGTTCCCTCTAAGCTGAGTTAGTGTGAGCCAGCTCACAGTTTCTAAGCCTCTGGCTCGCACGTTTTTGTCGTAGCTCAGGAAGGAGGGCTCCAGAGCAAACTAATTGATGCAGCAGCCAAATCGCTCGCTCAGAACTTTAATGCCTGTAGCTCACAAAGTAGAATTTTTGCTCACAAGACTCCACAGCTTAGAGGGAGCACTGCTGACAGCAATTAATATTGAGTCAGAGGAACCGCAGTTAAGCGTGAAACATAATGTCTCTCTCATTCCGGTTTGAAACTAAAAACCCAATACTTTTTTCTATTTTAACTTACTAGGTATGTTACACTGAAGAAAATTTCATCCAGGTTCGGGTGCACAGTGAGGTTTATAATCCAGACACCAGACAGCACCACACAACTAATGTCTTCCACTTTACATTCATGTCAGAGAATCAGATACCACAGATTATCCCGAAGACATATGGTGGTGAGTGGTTATTTGAATGTTTCACTGGGAATCTGTGAATGGTGTCGTGCGATTAATTTACAGCACAATCCTAATAACACTTTCCTGGTGTAAGACTCATTGAATAGTTCCTTTTCCTGGAACTTCAAAACCTATTATTCCTTCATTCTTTTTTAATTTAAGCACCAACGGTTCCAATGCCAAAATAAATAACATGGGGGATAGTGGGCATCCCTGTTTCGTACCACTCATTACTTGAACATACCCCTCTGCTAATCCACTAACTCCTACCATCGCCTTAGACTTAGTATATATTGCCTCAATCATATTTTGAAATTTCTCCCCGAATTTATACTTTTGAAATATATTTTTCATATACGTCCAATCCACCGAATCAAATGCTTTATATATATCCAACGCCAAGAGCGTAAGAGGCATCTCCTTATTTTTAGCTAAATAGACCATTCCCATCACCTTCCTAACTGCCTCTACCAAATACTTCTGAGGCATAAACCCAAATTGATCTTTCATCATATGTGGCACCAATATATCCTTAAAGTGCTTATAAAACACCGCGTTAAACCCATCCAGTCCGGGTGCAGATTGCCCATTCATAGATTCTATTGCCATCTTCACTTCTTCAGTTATAATCTTATCTAGTTCTCTCCTATTTTCCTCACTCAATTCTGGGAATTCTACTCCCTCACAAAATTGTTCTATATCATAATTTTTAATTCTCTTATTTGCATACAATTTATTATAAAAGTCTAAAAATTCTCCAATATCTT